GAGAAGCAGTGACATGACACCACCTGTGCCAAACACAGCACAGTGCACCTGTTCTTCCCAGTCGTGCCACAGACTACTTGAATGACTTGGAGCAAACACTGTCACCCCAATGCCACTTTCGTTCTTGTATAGAAAAACAGACATGACTAGAAAGCATTTCATCTACCACTTTGCTCCAACATCACGACTGTTCATTCTCAAAATAACACTGTCCCAAGTTCCAGGATGTCAGGAAATGTTGTTTGTTTTCTTCACTGTTTTAACCCCAGTGCCTAGAAGAGAAACCAGCATGTACCACATGCCCAAACCATATCTGCTGCAGGAACGAATGTAGCAAAATACATTAAAGTAAACTTTGCTGTAACATAGCACTTCTAGAGACGTCCAGAATAAAAAAAGAGGAGAGTTCAACTCACTACTGTAAGAGAGACACATGCACACACAGAAACACTATCTCATAAACTGTGGCTAAAACGCACATACTGAAGCCCGAATTCAAAGGAAGTGTCCTCAGTCAGGTAAAGTAGTAAAAAACGACGACAGCAACAACGAAACAAAAACAGAAAGAAACCACCTCACCATGCAATATTAAGTGAAGTGTTTAAAAAATAAAGTCTGTACTGAAACAACAGAAAGTCTGGATGCATGTGAAATAATAAAAATTGACTCCACAAAATGACAACCTTACAGATTGGCAACTTAAATGGGTGAAGAGTATCGAGTGGAAATTGAGCCAAACAGGAGAAATTGCTTCCTCTCTTTAAAAAGGCACAGCCTTACTCAGCTTTTGGCTTTTGAGATAATAAAAGGCTGCTGAGCTGGAAATTCATTTTCTATGAAATCTCCCAACCTTTACACGCTGACAGTGAATTCATGCAAACACACCTATAGATTAAAACAAACTGGTGGGCGTCTCTCTCAGTATGAAGAGAATAGAAATGTATGCAAGGCCAAAGAAAGGGTGTTCACTGAGAGCCAACACCGGGCCAAGCCTCACTCTCAGTCCGACTCGTTTAATATTTATACACAAATATAACTAATAATGTATGACCCATTCCATAAATAAAACAAAATACAATAAGTTATAGTTTCAATAAATATTTATTGAAGTTCTATTATATGCCAGGGACTGAGCCAAGTTTTAGAAACACTTGTCGGCTGATCAGTATGAGAGAGCTACGAGAAGTTAGGAGCTTGCAAGCACAGAAAAGTGTCAGGGGTACAATGAGCGTTTCTAAGACGAGTGTGGAACATGCGCATGGCTGCAGAAATGCCCGAGGGTTTCTCCTAAGTACTTGTCCAATTTAGGGGCCCAAATTGGGATGATAATATTTATTGATATAAGAAATAAAATCAGTAGATGAGTAGAAAAAACAACTATGGAATATTCACACAATGTAATACTACTTAACTACAAAAAAAAAGAAAATTTTACTCTTTGTGACAGTATGGATGAACCTGGAGAACATTATGCTAAGTGGAATAAGCCAGTCAGAGAAAGGTAATCATCTCATGATCTCACTTACGTGTCGAATCTAATGAACAAAGTGAGCCAACAGCAAAGCAAAGACAGGCTCATAGAAAGTAGGATGACAGCTAAGGCGGGAGGGAGGTGAGGGGATAGAGGGATCAGGGAAAAAAGAAAAAGGGCTCATGGACAACGACAACAGTGTGGGTATTATGGGGGGCAGGGGTGTACAGGAGTCAAGTGGTAAGGGAAAACATACAATAACATTTTAAAAATAAAAGTAAAAACATTAAAGGAAATAAAATATTCATTCTTAAGGACTGAAGTTCAGGGAAATTTCTGAAAATAGCATATACTTCTTTACTTGGTGTAATAAAAGCTTTTCTACTGGAAGAGCTCTGAGTCAGATTAAATCAAGGCAGCTCTTTACAAGAGCAGTCTTCCTGGGAGTCATCAGACTAACTAACGACAAATTTCTGGAATAAAGTTTTTAAAAGTCTCCTACCCTCCTCTGCACCTTCCAGTGCCTGCTAGGCTACTGGTTTTCACCATGGAGGCAGGTTTTTGGTTTGTCAAAGTTATCTGAGCGCTGAAAGGCTGGAAAAGGGCAAAGGGCACCTCAAAAATGCCATAAAACTTGCTGTTCTAACATGGTTCGGTCATTTTTTAAAAATAAATGTTGCTGGATGGTTACAAGATTTTGATTAATTTTTATAGTTCTGAAAAGTTGATTCTTACATGTTTTCTAGTGTTTTAATATCTTGTCAGAAGGGAAAAAGTTTAGGAGCTCTTACTTCACAATTTTTGCTGACATCACATCACTCTGCTGATCTTTATATATTTTACCTAGACTTACGTTGCTTATCCAATCATAATGGCACAGTCCGATAACAGCATATTAAGTGTATGCTCATTTTATTCAAAATATAGTTTTAAAATTCCTTCATTTTGCATTTGAGTGACATAACAAAGTATAACACCTGGATTCTGCATACATTCCACTGATTTAAACAAGTGCACTTGCTCTAAGTTTCTCTAAATCGATTTCTTCTTTTCTAAATGGTAACAGCAGGTATGGCTATATCAACTGAAAGATCACCCCCATATATCACAAGAATTTTTTTAAAATTTATAAATCTGAACAAAATACTAACTGAAACCGGATACTAAAAACTGAACATATTGCTAACAATTATATCACACAGAAAAAAAAGAGCATAAAACTGTTAGAATGATTGGAAAGAGACCATTGTTGATACAAAGAGACTATATGTTTAAAGAAATCAGTTGGCTTTATACAGAAGCCATGTATAAAACTGAGTAATCTTCCTCAGCACTTCTCATCGCCAGAGACAGGGCAACCAGATTTCCCCCCATCGTTAAACTCTGTCAACATTTCTCTGAGTAACTTTGGAACAGAAACTGGAGAACACGAAACTAGACTAAAAAAGAACATGACATATTCTCTTGCGATTTTCAAATTTTAATTTCAATGTAGTATATCAGCCATATTCTCAGAAAGGTCAACTTCAAATATTCATGTGATAAATCATTCTCAGTTTGTGGTAAAAATGGAGAGTACAAAATATATTTATAGGCCCTCAATCATGGAGGTTAGACAGCTGTCTACCTATATAGTGATGATGATAGATGAAAGAAAGTAATTTGGGGGTGGGAGTGAGAAAGAAGGGAAGAGGAGCATTGTAAAGGGAAAAGAACGACAGACCAGGAGAATATACACCAGGTGTCGGCCCCAGCTACTTTGCAGGAGGACAGTTTCCCATTTGGCTTATCTTATGTTCTAATGTTTTCGATTCATTTCTCTTGTATCTCTCAATAGAGTTATAAATTTTAACAACTACAAGGAAATACCAAACAAATTGAAAAAGAGAAAATACACTGAGGTTAGAATATTAACGTATAAATTATTATCAATTGCAACAATTACTACTACTAATTTACTTCTGAAATAATAACTTTCTTAGTAAGAAACTGATAAACACACCTGGCTCATCAAATGAAAAAAATTAAAAGTTGACTATTTGTGTTGCTACTACCAGATTTGTAATCATATTCAGCTACTTAAAAAAACTAAAATTAACATTCAAAATTATAAAAATATTAGCATATAAAATTTTATACATTCATTGCATATTTTTATTTTTAACATTTAATTTTAGTTGCATTTCTACCATTACCCACTGCCCCCCATACCGTCTTCCTCCTCCTCTCACCCCCACCTCCCACAGTCACCATGCTGTTGACAATGCCCATGAGTTCTTTCTCCTTTAAAGTTGAATATTCAAACTACTTTTTTCTTAAAATGGAGGCTTAAAAATATTTTTGCTTTTGTCACGAAGTAGTTTACTATTTTGGGTAATCTTATCTTAAATAAAATAGTGAAATATTAGCCCTGGCAGGTGTAGCTCAGTGGATTGAGTGTGGGCTGTGAACCAAAGGGTCCTGGGTTTGATTCTTGGTCAGGGCACATGCCTGGGTTGCAGGCCAGGTCCCTGGTAGTGGGTGTGGGAGAGACAAGCACCCATTTATGTTTCTCTCCCTCTCTTTCTCCTTCCCTTCCTCTCTCTCTAAAAATAAATGAATAAAATATTTTTTAAAAAGTGAAATATTAACTTAATCAAAAATAAAAAATCTTGCAGAGTTGAAATTATTTTAATAGTTATGCAATGAAGTTTATATTCCCTGTGTACTATAATAATTTTATGTCACAATATTTTTGCATGCCTTGTTTTTAATTTAACAGTATTTATTAAATAATTTTTAAATGTAATCTAGGTAATAATAATATTAGTATCAAAATACATTAATATGACTTATAAATGTAATTTACTTAATTTTCACCTGAAATATTTTATTTTTAATGCACACCAGTAGAGTAATTTACTAATAAAAAAGTTGCTGACTGAAGAAATGTCTCAATGAACATTTTTTTCTGGAAGTTTTCAATAAAGAAAAATTCAAAAATTGAAGAAAAAAAACTTTGAACAATGACTGACTTGATAATCTGAGAAACTTTTAATCTCATTGGAATTTTTAAACATTTCTTACAATATTTCCATTCCTTAATTTAAGAAAGAAATACAAAATATATTTGCCCCAGTATTTGAACTGACACTGATCATTGATATGTGAACATTATTTCCTAATTAATATAACCAGGATAAGGGCAAACAGGCAGCAGGGTTTTTTTATTGTTTTTTTAAGATAAACCCATTCTATAAGTTTGTTGGTTGCTTTGATCTGAACGCTCCTGAATATCGAAGGTCACTTCACAATTCTTTATGGAGGAGTACTCAGAGAGGAAAATCACGGGTCAGTTATGCAGTCATTGAAACCCCTTCCTGCTTTTCTCAGTCAGAGCTAATTTGTAACCTCCACCATTCCCCTCACACACACACCCCTGTGCTGCCCACAACAAATCTGTCCAGGGCATTTTCAATCACATGTGACATTTAACCCAATGTCTACTCAGGTATCATAGGTTGAGAGGAAAATGTTATCAAAGGCTTACCCCATTTTTTGGAAAAGCAATCCATCCCAGGTCCCCCATGACAGTACGTGAATCCAACAAATTCACTGAAAGAGAAAGAACACAAAACTAAGTCAAATGCACAAAAATCCATAACTATCTCCATAGTGTTAGTAAAAGTGCACATTGCTACATAACTGAAATTAGAGTAAGCATTCACCGTGATGCATACGAGAGTTATAATCAAAGAAAATATTTTGATGTAGGATAACAAGTGATTTTGAATTAACATTTAGAGCAAAATTATATAAACAAGTCATTACCCTAAGTGTTTTTTCATCAAACAACAATAAAGAAGAAGAATTAAAACAAGAAAAAGAAAATGTGAAAAATCCACAGAAAACAGAAAGGTCATGCAGCTTTTTTTCAGGCTCTAGGCCTTGGGATTTGCTGCTGCCATAAAAGTGTGACTGAATGTATTGTATTTTCTTCCAGAAAGCTGTTATGAAGCAATTAACAAATAATTTACATTAAACAGCGATAAACTATCCCCAAGCTTGTAACATTTTTGTGATATTAACTGAAATCTGTAATCCAAATTGCAAGTTTAATTAAGAAATAAATCTATACACCCTTAACCAAGTAAAGGATATTGTAGCAGTTCTCAAGGTTGTTGTTACAGTTATGTGCCCATTGCATTTCCAAAATATATTCTACTTATATATAATCTTGAATGTGCTTCTTGCAGAACTATCAGCTACATTTTTGAAAGATAGGCATCAGTTATAGCTCCATATCTTATAGCATCTGGAACTCCCAGAGTGGAAGTCCAAATATTATCATTGCAAAAGGAAGCCACGCAAGTATGTACACACACGTGCACTCACATCCCACACACTCACCACGTTTTATTTGAAGAAGTTTGCCTACTGTCCTGCCCGCCCAAGTTAAACTACCTGAAAGAGTACTGTGTTGTCAAAATGCTTTAGAGCTGGACCACAGACCATTATCTTCCCAACCTATTTTGCATAACCCAAATAGATCTACTTGGCCCACTCTGCAGCTAAAGCACTAAGTGAGCATGGCGTATGGACCCAAAAGGGAGAAAACTAGGTTATCTCCAGCCAGAGCTATGAAGTTTCCTAAACTAAATTCAAGAGCCAGTATCATGAAATGCCAGCATTAAAAGAAAAAGTGATTCTATGTGCAAGTTAAGCCTGGCTGCTAAATGGTTAACAGTTAAGCTGAGAAACTTGTTATAATATTTCTGTAAGAGAATGTAAAACAGAATTACTATAACCTAGAAAATCAAGATCATAATTCAAACAAAGATCTTCTACACGCTGTAGAAATTATGTGTGTTTAACCCGTATTTCCCATCATTTTCTTTAATATAAGACCAAACTAACCTACACATTAAGGTAATAGTTTGTATTAGTAATATAAAGATAGATCAAAAAAATTTAATTGTTGTAGAACAGAAATATACTCAATACATACACACTCATATGTACATAACACACCTGTGTGTTCAGTACACTGGTGTATATCCCTCAAATTCTGAGCTCTTTAACTATAAAAGCACATACTTATGGAACGGCTGTGCCATCTTCATCCTTGTCCTGCACACATCCCCTTGGCTTTAGGGAATAATACAATAAATACTTTGTGAAATTATTTTAAAGGAAAATGGATCCACTGAAAAACTGTTGTTTAAAATGGAAAAAAAATGTTTCCCTACCCACTGACCTTGCAAGTCTGTCAGTCACTCCACTGAATCTAATATTTCACTTGGAAATATGAGATTGTCTTTTCTTTTTATTCTATTGTTGACTTTTCTGGTTTCCAGGGGAATAAGGCCACATTAAACTTAAATGTCCTTGTCCTCATTTTGGCTTTTCTGGGACACTTAGGTATGTGTCTAGACATGACTAAATGCCAGGGGAGTGCAGAACCTAAATCATTATGTTTATTCATCTTTATGATTCACTTATTTCACCTTTGGTACTGAGCAGCAGCCTATCCGTGTAGACTAGGTAAAACAGAACAGATCAGCAAACTAAAGACCTGCTATCATGATGGCAGACAAACTGAACTTAGTCTTGCGGTGGCCAACTGATGTGAGTAGGAAGCCTAGGAAATGCTAAACAGCCTGTCACGACCTTTAAATAATACGTGAATCCTGAAATATTCATTTTCACCAACTGAATTCTAGATCTCTTTCTCAAGTTTCATTATCCTCACTGAAATTAACTTTAATCTAAATTATTATTCTGACCATTTTCTTGGCCTAACATATATGTGTGTGTGCATGTGTGAAAGTAAATGAATGAACTCAAACCACTAGCTTGGTTATTAATACAACTTAATAAACATTTTCAGTTTTTGGAATACATTAGTAAATGCATGAAAATAGTCGTCACAGGAACATGTATTATCTCTGATGTGATGATTTTGTCGAAAGGTTTTTTCAGATACATATATCAGAAGGTTTATAGGAAATATATGTGTGTCACTTCCCATGCTTGTCTAAAATTGCTTTCCTATTCTAAATAGATGATTTCATGAAATTCACAATGCAAAGAAGGTATTTATACCATTACTCAACTGAAAATTGAAAAAATTAGATGTTGTAGGCAATGACTTGCAGATTACTATATTATAATTTTGTTCAAACAATGTAGAGCAAATTGGAATTTGATCCCTCAGGGAAAATAACTAAAATCGCACATATATCTATTATATATTGATATCTTACCATATGATTTATGTATAGATCTCCATATCCATCTCCATATTGATATACATAGGAATAAAGAGAGAGAGCTTTCTCATACCTCCAAGTTTTGCATATGCTCTTTTAACTGTCGCAAATGTTATTCACCTTTTCTGAACTGGTAACTCTTCTTTTGTCCTACAAAACATATTCCAGAAACTACATTCTCCAAGAAGCCATCTCTGATCCTCCCTTTCCTATATTGAGGTAAGGTATCATTGCTGAATATTCAGTTAGCACCCAATCCTTATCTCCTAAACACCGAATATAGAGAATTGTATTGTTTCTTGAAAAGAACACTATGTTTGACTCACGCCTATGGACCTGGCCTGTGCTCACAGCAGCTGAATATCTATATTTCTTATAAATGAATCATTTGGTCAGTGGGCAGATCTGGAGAGTGTGCACATGAGTGCATACCAGTGGTTCTTAAAATGGACATTTGGTAATGTCTGGAAACATCTTTGATTTTAAAAACCAGAGGGTGGGTGGTGCTCACTTTTTAAGGTATATTTGAAAACATTGTGTCATACACCTAAAACTAATCATGTTGTGTGTCAACTATACTTTAATAACCTTTTTTAAAAAACCTGAATAATGGCATTTCATGGGAAGAAGCCGGGTAGGCAGCTAAGTTCCCCTCAATATACAGCAAAACTTTGCCCACTCCCAGGAAAAATGATCTGGCTCAAAGGTCCTTAGTGCCAAAGCTGAGACACCCTGGCAGGAACATGTATGGTTCCACTAGAAAATCTCTGCCTTCACAAATTTTTGTAAGGCACATCGGTATTGTGATCTTCACTAATAGAACTTAACATATTTGAAGGAATTCCTTATGAATCAAAATATTACTCCAATTTAAGGAAATAAAAGTAGTAAACACTGAAGTCTCATTTAGAAAAAAATAGAGTATTCTTATAACACAACTCCTGAAATTTTCTCACACAATCAATGTAGCTATTTTATGTTCTAATAATTTCTCAGCATGCATGGCAGCATGTCATGAAAAAGCACTAGGTCTCTGATATTATCCTCTCCATTCCTCCCACTAATTAAGCTGGTTACATAAACCAGAGGTCTGGGGTCCATCTGAATGTGAATTTTCAGAAGTTGATTTCCCAGTATTATTAACAAATGCATTTGTTTACTTTTATATCTTATTTAATTTATTGGTTAAAATTATAGAGGTTTCAGGTATACAATCCTATAATTCATTATCTGTATATTGTACTGTGTTTATCACCCCAAGTCAAGTTTCTTTCTATCATCCTTAATCTCCCATTTACCCTATTCTACCCCCACTCCTAGTTTTCCCTCTAGTAATCATCACACTGTTGTCTGTGTCTGAGTACTTTGTTCTTAGCTTAATTGCTTTGCTTTTTCATTCAACCCCCAAACCTCCTCTCCACTGAACAGGCTCAGTTCTCTCTGAGTCCTTTTCTGTCTTGCCTGTTAGTTTACTTTGTTCATTAGATTCTACATCCAAGTGAAATCATATGGTACTTGTCTTTCCCTGACTGGCATATTTCACTTAGCATGCTACTCTCCAGGTCCATCCTTGCTATCACAATTGTACCTTTCCAAAAAGGTACAATTTCCTTCTTTTTTGTAGTTGAGTAGTATTCTGTTGTATAAATGTACCATGACTTCTTTCATCCACTCATCTACAGATTGGCACTAGGTCTGTTTCCTAAACTTGACTCTTGCAAATAGGGCTGTAGTGAACACAGAGGTGCACATAGTCTTTCAAATTAGTGTTTTGGGTCTCTTTGAGTATATTGCCAGAAGTGTTATTGCTGGGTCATAAGGAAGTTCCATTTTTAATTGTTTGAGAAAACTCCATACTGCTTCCCACAGTGGCTGGATCAGTCTGCATTCCTACCAATAGTGCATGAGACTTCCCTTTTTCTCCACATTCTCACCATCAGTTCTTGTTTGTTGATTTATTGTGACAGTCATTCTGACAGGTGTGAGGTAATATCTCATTGTGATTTTAATTTGCATTTCTCTGATGACTAGTGACATTGAGCATCTTTTCATATGTTTATTGGCTACATCAAACTGTTTTTCACAGCCAAGGAAACCATCAACGTAATGAAAGACAACTCACTGAATGGGAGAATATATTTTCCAATGATACATCTGATAAGAGGTTAATATTCAAACTTTATAAAGAACCTCAAAAACTCAACAACAAAAAAACAAAAAATCCAATTCTGATCTGGCTACTGTGGCTCAATGAACTGAGTGCGAGCCTGTGAACACAAAGGTTAGATTCCTGGTTAGATTCCCAGTCAGGGCACATACCTGGGTCGCAGGCTAGGTTCCACA